CTCAGAAATTGTGTAGAGTGTGTGTTTTGAGTATTTAAGCTTCATTATATATATATATATATATGTATATATATATATATATATATATATGTTACGAGCTTGTGGCAACCTTAAACAAAAATGTGATTAATATCCACAAAAGTTGAAGCTATTATAAAAAAGTTTGTTTCCTTTTGCTGTTTAATATAAATTCAACCGATTTACCTTACATTTCATTCACAAGTAAAACAGTTGATACTTACTATAAACAAATAAGTATACTTTTCCAATAGCCTTCCTTATCCATATGAAAGCAATTGAATTCTCAACCAAAAGGTTCATTGCAAGTAGTATCAACTTTGTTTTATGGGGGACCAATGACCATAATGAGAATACGGAGCAACGTTACTTTTTCAATATTCATAAATAAAATTAAAACTCCTTGTTTTGATATAACCAATAAGTTACGAAAATTTGTGTGGTAAAGTAGAGAATCTACGCCAATTTATGTATGCTAGCTATAAGAAGAATAGTTTCTTCCTACACCTTATTAATTATAACACATTAGAATGTCCATTAATATTAACTTGAATATGCCCCTTTTTTTAAAAGAGAGAGAGAATACATAATTATAGATACTTGAAAAATGATTGGCCTACTTTAATTGATTGTATTTTTGTTTAAATGAAATGCAATTATTTATTATAACCACAGAAGAAAAAGAGTTTTTATGAGTTCGAATCCTCTCAGACACTAATTATTACTAAGGTTTTTATAGGCAATTTCACGGCTTAAAGGATTAATTAAGATATATGCAAGTTAGTTCGAATACCCTGATAATTAAAAAAAAAAAAAATTCCAATCATCAAATTCAAATATAGCCCATGTTATGTACGTACATACAACCTGCTTCACAATATGCATTATCGTTAAAATGTCATGTCTTCCATGTTCTATATTCACATTATATATATTTGAAAAAAGAAAAAGAAAATTGAAATCTTTTGCATCCTCAATACATTCATAGTCATGGACGCGTTTTTGCAACTTCGAATGTGCTCCAATTTGATGGCACTAAAANTGAAATATTCATTTTTAAAGCACAAAACTTTTAGATGAAATAAAGGAAAAAAACAAATTAGATTTTTAAAGTACAAAGTATGGACGCCAGTCAATCTAATGAGGATGGTCGTCCATATACAATGGACAGCCATCCAAATGAGATGGACTGGCATCCATACTCAAATAAATATCTTTTTTAAATTTACAATTTTTTTTTCATTTATAAAAAAAAATGCAAAGCAAGAGAGATCGATAAAAAGTACTCATGATGTAGAATTTTTTAAAGAAATGTTTTTGTTAAACTAGAATTTGGGTATGGACGGCCGTCCATCTTACACGAACAGCTATCCATTGTATATGGACGCCCGTCCATTATTTGTTTTTAAACTTTTCTGGACAGGCGTCCTTCTTATATGGACGCCCGCACATCCATAGTAAATGGACACCCTCCTATTATATGGACGGGAGTCCATTGATATTAGCGTGGATAATCGTCCATTTGTGATGAACGATTGTCCATAACGTATGTACGATCATCCGTGTAAGATGGACGACCGTCCATTCACTGAATCAATATTTTATGTCCAACGATCGTCCATTTAGATTCTGATGTACACTTCGGACGAAGAGCATACCTCCTTTGTTATAGATCGAGGGTTGTATTGTTATAAGGTTATGCCCTTCGGCCTAAAGAATGCTGGGGCGACTTACCAGCGACTAGTTAACCGAATATTTTTCGAGCAGATCAGAAAATCAATGGAAGTCTATGTTGATGACATGCTGGTCAAATCGCATGTCGCTTCAGATCACGTAGCGCATCTCGCTGAGATGTTCGGTATACTCCAAAGGTACATAATAAAGCTAAATCCTCTCAAGTGTTCGTTTGGAGTATCCTCAGGAAAATTCTTGGGGTATATGGTTAACTAGAGGGGAATAGAAATTAGCCCCGAAAAGATCCAAGCTCTCCTTGATATGAGAAGCACGACCAACCAAAAGCAAGTTCAGAGTCTCAATAGGCGAATAGCGGCTCTCAATCGCTTCATATCAAGCGCAATAGAACGCTGCTTGCCATTTTTTAATATACTCAAGGCCAACAAGAAGTTCGAATGGACTCCCGAATGCGAGTAGGCATTCCAGAGCATTAAAGAGCACCTTGGAAAACCATCTCTTCTGTCCAAGCCTCTCCCCCAGGAAATTCTTCTTCTGTATATGTCCGTCTCTTAGCATGCAGTCAGTGCAGCATTAATTCAGGAAAAAAATAGGGTCCAATGGTCGGTATATTATGCAAGCAAATGCCTGCTAGACACCGAAATACGGTATCCAGAAATGAAGCGATTAGCTTATGCCCTACTGATCGCCTCCAAGAAGTTGCGACCTTATTTTCACGCCCACACAATCCATGTATTGACCAACTATCTGCTCAAGCAAGTCCTCTAGAAACCAGAGGCTTCAGGTAAGTTGCTCAAGTGGGCAATGGAACTAAGTCGGTTTGATCTGCAGTACAGACCGAAAGCAACCATTAAAGGGTATGTTATTGCTGATTTCATTTCGGAATTCTCATATCAATTAGTTAAGGAATCCGAGCAACAGGCCAGCGAGGTCACCCAGAAAATCATTCTGAATCTATCAACCTGGAGCCTCTATGTCGATGGATCCTCAAACAGGAGAAGGGTCGGGGCAGGTCTTCTCCTCCTTAGTCTGGAAGGGACTCGCATCCACGGTATTCTTTGATTTGGGTTCAAACCAACCAACAACGAAGCCGAGTACGAGGCATTGTTCGCTGGTCTGCGGTTAGCAAAAGAAATGGGGTCAACCGCGATCAATATTCACAGCGACTCCATGCTGGTTGTTAACCAGATCTTGGGGGAATATCAGGCCAAGAAAGAAAACATGATCAGTTATTTGAAGAAAGCTAAGGCCGTGCTCGAGCTATTCAAGCACTTCACGATCACGTAGATCCCTAAAGACAGTAATTCTGTCGTGGATGCCTTGGCAAAAATAGCCTCGTCGTTGGACTCAGATGTGCCAGAAAGTATTCTTGTTCGGTTCATAGAAATCCCTAGTATCAGCTCGCCCGAACAGGTCGTAAATATGACAGAATCAGTTTCCTGGATGACCTCAATTATTCAGTATCTCCGAGATGGGACCTTGCCTAACGAAAAGATAGAGGCAAGAACCATGCGGACTAGAGCTGCTTGTTACACACTTATAGGAGATCAATTGTACAAGCAAGGGTTTAGTGCCTCTCTCCTCCGATGTGTAACAGATGAGGAAGCATAATATATCATGAGGGAGATACATGAAGGGATCTACGGTAATCATACTGTCGCACTGTCCCTCGCCAACAAAGTTGTTTGTCAAGGGTATTATTGGCCCCTATTCCAAGAGGATACCTTCAACTTTGAAAAAAAGTGCAACAAATGTTAGCGGTTCACGAACATACTGCGAGCTCCTTCTCACCAGTTGATAACCATGACCAGCACTTGGCCATTCTCCATGTGGGGAATTGATCTTATTGGACCCATGCTAGTTGGAAAGGGAGGGGTCAAGTATGCAGTGGTCACGGTGGATTACTTCACCAAGCGGGCCAAGGTTGAACCCTTGGCCGTGATCACCACCAAAAAGCTCAAGGACTTCATCTTCAAAAACATAGTATGCTGCTACAGAATTCCTCATACCCTTATCTCTGATAATGGGAAGCAGTTTGATAACGAGAAATTCAAGCAGTTTTGCGATGAGCTGGGGATTTATAAAAAGTTCGCCTCAGTCGTAAGACCGCAAGCAAATGGTCAAGTTGAAGCTGTCAACAAGACCATCAAGCATACTTTGTAAGCCAAACATGACGCTACTAAGGGTAATTGGGCCGACGACCTCCCAGAAGTCTATGGGCATACAGGATAACTCAGAAAACCTCTATTTCAGAAACACTTTTCTCGCTAGCATATGGCTGCGAGGCAATAATCCCAGTGGAAGTAGAGATTGGTTCACTTTGGAGAGACATGTTCAATAAAACAGACAATGAAGCGTTTATGCGCATAAGTCTGGACTTAGTTGAAGAACATCGTGGCAAGGGTTAGTTGAGGATAGCAGCCTACCAACAACGCACGAAAAGATTCTTCGACTCTAAAGTCAAGAGAAGAAACTTCCAGGTCGGCGACCTAGTTTTGAAAGAAGTCCTTCTCGGTACGAGAGAATTGAGTGTGGGAGTATTGGGACGAAATTAGGAAGGCCCATACCGCGTCACTAAGGTGATACGACCGGGAACTTATCACCTTAAAAGGCTCAATGATTCCGAAGTATCGCGAGCTTGGAATGCTGAACATCTTCGCCCCTATTATCAGTAATTCCGAACTTATTTTCTAATTTTCTTGTAAATATTTACTCTTTTAAGCCTTGTAAATAAGATAACTCTCATGTAATATTGTTTCTCGCATGTGTGCCTTTATGTTCGCATATGTAGCATTTATACAAATACTATCGCAAATAGTTCGCAAGCAACCCTGTGACCACATGTGTAATGTTTGTGAGGCACGAAAAAATTATAAGTACTCACAAATGATTGAAGAAATAGTCTCTTTATTTATTATAATTGAAAGNGCTCAATGATTCCGAAGTATCGCGAGCTTGGAATGCTGAACATCTTCGCCCCTATTATCAGTAATTCCGAACTTATTTTCTAATTTTCTTGTAAATATTTACTCTTTTAAGCCTTGTAAATAAGATAACTCTCATGTAATATTGTTTCTCGCATGTGTGCCTTTATGTTCGCATATGTAGCATTTATACAAATACTATCGCAAATAGTTCGCAAGCAACCCTGTGACCACATGTGTAATGTTTGTGAGGCACGAAAAAATTATAAGTACTCACAAATGATTGAAGAAATAGTCTCTTTATTTATTATAATTGAAAGCAAGTACAGATGTGCGAGCACAAGAACAATTATGAAAAGCAAAAGCAGAAACCATCACTAGCCTTCGTTCCCAAGACCCGAAGGTGCGACCTCAATATCTCTAGGTTGGTCGCCGACCACTTAGTCAGCCATCGGTTCCTCCGGATGCTCGTCTTTCGGATAAGGCCCTTGTCATTCCTCCTTGTCATCGGCCTACGCCATGGAAGCGAGAATCCTTTGGTAGTCATCCGGGAGATTGGTGAGGTCTATGTTCGGATTATTTGGTCGTAGGGCATAAATGGACTGGATCGACCAGTATGCGGCTCTCCTCTCAATTTCCAGCTCTTGTCGCTCATCTCTTCGGTTAACAAAGCGACATGTCCCTGGGACAATTGGAGTTCCACCTCAAGTGCCCACCTCTGCTTCTCAATGGTTTCCTACAACTGGTCTCTCTCTTGTTCTGCTCACAAGGTCGCTCAGACTTCACTCATAGGTCCAGCTCTTTCTCGCCAGCCTCCTCAGTAAGTCTGACCACTGTCTTTTGGAGCTCTTTGACCTCATCTCCCCTCTTCTCCAACTCAGCCTTTTGGAAGTCCGCCATGCGGAGTGCAGCATTCCTCTACGATAAGTATTGGTTCGTCTAAATGGTGGACAGGTTCATCTCTGTCTGTGCAGCCTCCAAATCCCGTTTTAGCCGCACGTTCTCTTGTCTCAGCTCGACGAGCCCCTCAACGGCTCCCAATTGAGTCTTCTGCTAGGCCAAGCGCATGGCGAGCAAAGACTGCATAGCAAAGGGAACATGGGTTTAAATTCCTTTTCATTAAAAAAGTAAGGGAAATATAAGAAAGTCTTTGACGAGGATGAACCCTCTTACCTGGCTTTATAGCTAAATTTACATGGTCATCAAGTCTACGGGGTTGGAGGCCATGAACTGCTCAAAAGCCTTTGCGAGCTGGCACTCTAGCAGGGTGAATATCACCGGCTGCAAGTGCTTCGGGAGTTACCCCATAGAATCCAACATAGGCTTGCTCGTTCCCGCAGCAAGTGGCGTCTCACCCACTGGTTCTTCGCCCGCTCTCCTCCCAAGAGTCGCGACCTCCCCTTACCCCCTGTGTGGACCCTCACGAGAAAGTGTAATGTCGGTCATGCGCCTAGGGGGCCCTCCCGAGCGAAAAGCCTGGTAAGGTTACGACACCCCAGGCTGAACGCCCAAGCCTTCCGGCTCGGACTCTAACTCCTTGACCTGAAGCTGATTCCTTTTCTTGGTTTTTTAGGCCACAATCTTCTGATTAGGACGAGCAGCCACAGGCTGGGGAGCGTCCACTGGCTGAGTTGGCACCCCCATCGGCCTTCCTCCAACAGGGGGACCGTTGGGGCCCACCCCGGTTAGTCCCGTGGCACCGACCAGAGGAAAGGCAAACCCCCTGGCTCTCAGCGAATTGGGCACCTTGGGTGGCATGGTCGCTGGATGCAAAAATTGTTAGCAAAATAATTCACTGTATGCAAGAAATAAGATTGACTAGGGTTACGGACACTTACTCGGTAAGGATTCCAAGGTTGCGTCGGGATTAAAGAAGTTGTACTTCCTTAAGTTAGCAATTGTCACGAGTAGTTTTGCGTCGCGACTCTAATTGGGCAGAAGACCGAAAGAGGTTATTCTGTTGAAGTTAGTAAGAGCCGACAACCTGGTCGTCTTGTTTACTGTGAAGAAATGGAAGAGTTCGTTAGCAAAGATTAAAAGAAAAGAAATTCACCAAGTAAAAGAAGGGCAGACCTACTCAGCTCCCTAAAATAGCAAATGCTATTGTAATGGAAAAAGAAACTTTTCGTCTCATATGCCCCGACGTTGCTGGGGTAATTGAATATCCCTCCCTCAATCGTGGATCGCTTCGAGAGATAGTAAGAGTCCTTGTGTTTGCTCCTTTTTAGGTAGTACGAGCAGGCAAGCTCTAGCGCAGTCAACTCGCCGAGACCGTTCTCGCTGCATGCGATATATATAGCCAAAGTTATCATATAGCATTGGGCGTCAGCTATAAAGGTGCGACCCCGAAGTGATCGAGGATTGACCTTATAAAGGGATGGAAGGGAATCAGTGCTCCGCATTTAAATATGTTCTCAGAGATCACAGCCATTCCTTCTAGCGAATTTTGAGCTGTATACGTCTTATGCTGGTAAACGTCTACGCTAATCGCGTATTGGTCAACCGCTTTCTGTATTTCCTCTCCTCTGGACACTGACAGAATTTCTTGTGAAGGACTCGCTGGGTGTCCTACACCGGCGAGCTCGTTCCCTCGTCTGTCCTGATCGTTGAAGGGTCCATTTCTTCTGCGGTCTGAAAAAGAGCAACATGCAGGAATTATTCAATCATCGTACAGGGTTTCGTACGATGACGTGGAAGAAAAGATAAACATAATGTGTCTTCCTTAAAACCTAAGAATCCTTCGGGACCACCCTCAAAGATTCAAACCCTAGAGGAAAGCCTATTCTCCGTTCGACCGCCCACAAACACCCACCGTTATCGCATGATTATCTACAAAACAGAAAAGAGAAAGTAATGGAAGGATCTTCCTTACCTCTTGGGTGTGGGGATTAAACTTCCTGTTATGAACGTCAAATGTGCACCAACTCGAAGGATGGAAAGTCTGGTCTCGCGAAAGCGTCTTGCTCTTTCTGAAAAAGTGAGTGGTGTGACATTGCTTAAGGTGAGCCTGGGATTTTATAGTGGAGGAAATGGCGATTGGTCTTCCTGAAGCCAAGCGACGTTTGGGCGAAAATCATCTCTCGCTATTGATCGCGACCACATGTCGTCAATCAACTGAAAGGAGTAACCGCCACGCTTCGAGAAATCCAATCATCGCTTCTCTCCGTTGAAATAATTCGAGCGACGGCTCGTTTCCCTCCTCCACATTAAATGCACTTTCATCCGCATTTAATGCTCTGATAAGAAATGTCGTTTCAGCATGACTTACATTTAATGAGCATGGCTAGCACTTATTGCGCATATGACACGTTTGTCAAAGTAAAAGGCACTTCATTAATGGATTAGTTGTCAAGCGTAACGGATAACATCTGAAGATGTTGTTAGGACAAAACACTCTTCGTCGCATGTCAGTTACGAAGCAATGTGACTCCTTGCCTTCAGCAAAAATATGCTAAGTATAACCAGGACGCGAACCTCGGTTAAGATAAGAGGCGTATCAATACGGCACTGAATAGGGTCTGATCCAGGTCGTCGACCTTGCGGAAGGAGATCATGTCAGGTCGCTCATAGGGAAATGGCTTGCGACTTCCTTGTAGCCAGGTCAGATCGATCAGGCGTCATTCGGAACATATCAAATCAAGGCATAATTGTAAAGTTCTCAAGGTTCGATTCTCAAACCTTAAAAACTAGGGGACTTTTGTTATGCCTGAAAAAGTAAGGCTAACATGAAGTCTTGTCAGCATGGGGTGGTCAAAACTTAAGAAGGTTCCACGACCGTCCAGACGAAGCCACGTCGCATGATGACGTGAGTGGCATGCCCCTATCAGTGCAATGGATGAATGACAGGTTAGCGAATGGTTGGAAATCGTCCACGTGTCCAATCCCTGAACAAGTCGAGGAAATCACTTGGGCAGGTGAACAATAGGACGCAAAGAAGGATTTGCACGGTACCCACCCATTTACAGATTTAGTAATTATTACCTTGATTCATCCCACTATAAATAAAGGACTCCTCTCTCATTTATGAGATTGACTAATTTCACTCTAGAATAGTTTACTCTCTCTCTCTCTCAATCTCTTGTA